TAAAACCAGGAAAACCAAGATATTTCGAAAACTATCAGATATAGGTATATAGGACATTATTACCAAAAGTTGAAAGTTTTTGGAAGAGCTAAAAGATGACAGAAAAATATACAGGGTGTTCCATTTAAAAAAAGTGAGATTTTTTAATATGAAGTTTTGCAAAAAAAACACCCTGTAAACTATTTTTTTAATGTTTCATAGTAGATGTATTTATTTGACTTTTACTTAACCTAGGATAAATGATATAAAACCTGGAATCAAAATTTAAGTACTAATTTTGACAATATATACTGACGCTTGCAAATGCCCAATTTTTCTTACAAATCGAATTATCTTTAAAACTTCTAGTTTTTCGGATATTAATCATATAATAAGAAAGACGTACAATTACACGTAGAATTCAAAAATGCATTCAAATACAGGGGGTTCTATTTAAAAAAATGTACCATTTTGGCGCCCTACTTTGTGGAGAATATTCAAACATATCATAATACAAAAGCACTCTATCGCAAAATCTTATCTTCAAGGCATTAACGTACTCCGCGCAATCGTTGACTCACCCTGTACAGTTTTAGTAATGGAAATAAGCCTCATTTTTTTTGCAAGTTTTTTATATTATTTAGCTTTGTGCGTTCTTTGTTCATATTTCTAATTCTATTATGTTTTTGTGTTTTGTCTAATTGCTGTTCCGTGTTTCGAACGAGGTTTTGAACTTCATGTTTGCTGTAAATGCCTGCACCAAGGAAGGAATCTTTTCTGTGCCAGTTGTAAAAAAGTTATTGAAATAAATCAATTTGAATAATTAGAAACTTACCTATGCCATTTAAGTATTGTGCCTATAAATAATATACGCTTGTTGCATTTTGATCCTTGTAAGCCAAAACTCAAAATCTCGATCTAAACCCCAATTTGATTGAAGAATCGCTAAACGCTATGATAGAGAAAAAGAACATTGGTTGTTAGCAGCCATGGTTATTACTAGGGCCATTATTTAATGGGTGGAAATTTTTTCTGGAACACAGAATATATGATCAAAACACCATTTTTTTTAAAGAAAATTTTTATGGTATCCAAAATTATACAAAGCTTGCTACCAATCTACATACTTTATAGGAATAGAACATAAACAATAATTGATGTCACAATCAATGATGATCTCAAAAATATTACAAATAGGCCACTATAATATACATATAAATCTGCTATGTTAATGTTTGGATTTAAATTGATTTTTAGTGAAAGGAGATCAACACGTAGTCAGAGAAAATATTAACATCAAAACAGGCAGACGAAAATGACAAAATTTGTCTTTGAATTTTGGTCGTGGGGGACCGTCTGAATTCAGACGGGTGCGTTCTGCAAATCTGTAACAGATAATAACACAACAAACAAATAAAAGGGGTAGTCAATCGTGCTGCGCATAAAAGATTGCGAAATAGCAATGCTAACGTCTGACACGGGGTCAATGTGATATAAAAACTGTAATTAATACGCAAAAAGAATCAATAGTTCGAATGACTACACTAGCTAAAGCAAAATTTTGATCGACCACGGATTATTCTTACAATATCGGGGTATAAAAGCATAAATTGAAGAAAAGTACTGTAAGATGCATCAATTATTAAATTTCTATTGAATAGCAATGCAATCTAATCAATTCAGAATGTAGATCAGATAGTATAACACATTTTTCAGAGTAAAACAAATAACGTGACTGAAAAAAATTGTATATATCGGTTTCGAACCAAGTCTCTGGAGCTCTCATATCGGTATAGCACAGCTAATCTGAAGGATACAATGCAATCGAATTAACAGAATGAATCTTGGTAGCAATCATAGAAAGTAACGCGGACAAAAGCGGTAAAGTCAAATCTTCGGTAGCGACCAAGTAAAGTACGTAGTATCAGGTATAACGGAGCGATTTACAAAATCGTTAATCTCCAAGGGGTTTCGTTATACCTACTTGCAGTTACGAATTATCTTGGAATCGCCAGGTATAAACTTCGATGTCAGTATACTCTGTTTTTTAACTAGGAAGACGGATTTAAAAGTTCCCGCAAAAAATCTTAGTTTCTATTGGCTCGCGCTGCGCCCGTTTTACACCCAGGTAAAATTACTATTGACATGATTTAACTGTCAAATTTAATCGCGATTCTCATCCTTAACTGTTGTACTTATTTTTGAGTTTTCGTGTGTTCCGAGTCCTTTTGCATAAATTTTAACAAAGTAAAACAGTTCTTTTAAGAACTAAAGTTGATATTTCGCGTCCTAAGTGTACTGGCATTGGTGATGGATTCAACTCCAAGTACCTACCAGTAAAGCAAGCTTGTCTCCTTTGAAAAAACGTTGTCGCTTAAACTTAGGTCATTTTATCAGTCTCCGAAAAGCAGTTTATTATAAACACTTATAAACAAATGTTATCTGATACTCCGGATATGAATTTTGCTACGCTTGTGTTGAAGATTACATCTACCACAGGTAACGTAAATAATGATGTAGGTATATTTTTGGTTATTAAAGTATGACACATATTAGGAATTGCACGATCAACAGTATACCGGATAATTAAAGAAGATCGAATTACTGGGATTGTTACCCCTTCGAAACGTTCCGGTGGTCATAAGGCTGTTGCAAATGTGAGCTCTGACGATTGGCGGAATGGGGGTTTACAGTATAGTTGAATTCCGCAGTTCTAATTTAATAAGCGTGTACCTGAAACCATAAAACATTTTTTTGGACAGTAAAAGTTTATTTAAAAATAGAGGCTGATTAGCAAAAAAATAATGAACATGTGCGGTTTTAAAGGTTTATTCAAAACGATATGATTGTGGTGGGCTCTGTGACGTAATAAGCCCGACCAATCAGCTCCTAGAACCATTCAGATGACATAACGACTTGGCAATATTGCAGGAGAATTTATAACTTGCGTCATCTGTCACAGTCACTTGTCACTTTCGTGCTAGATGCAGTCACAGCCGTCTATAATTACAAGCCGTGCTGAGAATTATGGCAACACTGCATGGTAGGCCGATTTCCTAATTCAACTTGACAGATTTTGAGTGTATTTTATATGTGTTTTGGGTGTAATATTCCAATTTACCTGTTTTAACAGAGCGAAATTGCGACAATTTGTGTTACTCCCTACGGAATGAACAGAAATTATTATTCAGGTAAGTTGCTAAACGAAATATATCGATTTGTTGTCATAACCTCTAAAGCAGGCTACTCCTTACTGGACCCTTTACAAGCACTTGTATTTGTTCAAAGTACCTGTAAGAAGCTCAAATATGACCTACACACTACCTGGTACGTAAGTACGGTAAGTGTTTATCGTGAAAAAATACAATTAGTTTGTATTTCAGGTATTCTAGCACGGACATGTCAAATCGATTTTCTGAAGGAACCTTTCAACTTATCCCCAAGAGTTCATGGTACGGGAATTTGAAGTCTACGGGGCACCCCTCTTTAAAAGCTTCGTACCTAGATCCACTGGAGTAGCGACTGGCTTAAAATCTGCCATTCCGAATCACACCTGGTCGTTGATAAAACCTCGCACATTATGATGCAGTTACCAATTTACAGCGTTCCGAATTTTAAAGTCAAATAAAAATGTTATTATCCATTTTTGTAAATAAGTAAAATATATGTACAATTATAAGCTGCCTAAGTATCTTTCTTCTGTATTAAAACCACCATGGGGAAACACAGGAAAGAGGAAAAATGCAATTTTTGAAGGGTAACAAGACTCCATTAAAACCTATATCGGCCCACCGATTGACTTTCGGACAACGTTGCCAAACTTCTCAGCATGGCTTGTAATTATAGACGGCTGTGTAGATGCAGTTAAACATCCCTCTCAAAACGTCAAATGTGACAAACGTCAGACCCTCGCGTAAGGTTGCCAGCTCACTTCTACGTGATTGGTTGTAGGTTTGTGACGTATTTAGTCTGAAGCGTTTCAAATTCGGACTAAAAACACAGCTTTTCAATAATTTATTTTGGGTTTATTTTACTCGCAAATAAAAATTGAGGACACACGGGTCTTTTTATTTTTAATGTACTTTGTGGATCAGAAATAAAAAATGAAGGCGGGATGACCCCATTGTGTGCAACACGTTATTAAGGAAGAAAATAAGATGTGTAGATTGGATGGCCTAATTGATACACTTATAGAACCATTAATTATTTCCCTCGGATCGGAGGACAGTGACAGTTTTAGTGAACTTTCGGAAGGCAGTGTCTAAATCGCTTATACATAAAACAGTGAACTGTGCTGTTTAATAATATGAATATAATTCCATTGCTCTGAATTTGTTCAATAACTTAACATTTGTTGTAAATTGTAATGTGGATTGTGTAGTATTACAACTGATAAAACATTTAAAACTACAATTCAAAACAATGTTTCAAAGGTCAAAAAATGTATGCAGCATTATTACCTATTATCAATGTATTACCTATTTATTATAATTCGCTTTTAAAAGTGTGATGTATGCATAATATAAAGTAGTTCCTATCAAATAATAACCCAAAAGCATAAATAATGAAATCTATCCAAATGTGAAAGAAAAACACATCACGCAACACACAATACATGTCTGTATAAAATGAGTCTATTATTTTTGTTACTAGATTCTAGTGACATTTTCAGTGTAAATCAGGTTTTTAAATCCGTCTTCCTAGTTAAAAAACAGAGTATAGGTAATCGTCATAGGTAGAATCACATGTTTGGTTTCACTGAAATGGTGGGGAGTCCGCCGGTAAAGTAGAAACTCATCACTATTTTGAGGGAAAGTTGACTTAAGGGTTGAGTGGAGTGTTGAGTGAAGGTAAAAGCCCTAGGTTACAGAAGAGCTAAACACACGCAAAAGGTTGAACTGCAGCTGTCTATACTAGATGCCAGTATATGACAAACAAAGCCATTAATAAGAAAATGTGCATGAACCTGAAAGGAGGGTGACAAGTATGAAGCAATCGACTTCGTTAAAGTAGTGGGAAAACTTTTGTCTAGGGTTTCGATGGAAATCTCTCAAAGAATTTATTTGACACAACGCATTTTACCAAATCAAAGGGTAATCCAGCATCTCTGATGGGTAAAAATCCTTCACCTTGGATGAAGTGTAAGTGCCACCATTTTTAATCATGGTATTTATTACATTTGCCGCTATTTATTTTGTTGGTTATACTGTCAAAGCTAAATTTGAAACGTCACTAATTGAAGGAATTAATGAACAAAATTTCTCGTATAATCTACCATGTAATCTATAAAAAAGTTGAGGAAATGAAGAATAGAGACATCGATTCCATCATAGCGCATTTGCGTTCGTGCGGAACGCAGGCAAATTCCGATTTTAATTTACTGGAACGTGAAATGCAGAGTCTATGCGAGAATTGCATTAATACGCTTATGTCACAACCGATGCTGTTAAAAATCGAAACTCCCGTTGCGATTTGTGGCGATATTCACGGTCACTTTCAGGAGCTGTTACGCATTTTCGAGCGTGGAGGATTCCCCCCAACGATCACGTATTTATTTTTGGGAGACTACGTGGATCGCGGTAAAAAGTCATTGGAAACTATTTGCTTGTTGTTGGCTTACAAACTCAGGTATCCCAACCAGTTCTTTCTCTTAAGGGGAAACCACGAATGCAAGTCTATTAACTATCGTTACGGATTTTACGAGGAATGCGTAGACAGATACAGTGCTCGGCTATGGAGAAGCTTTAACAAGTGCTTCAATTTTTTACCAGTTGCGGCAATAGTGGGTAAAAAAATTTTCTGCTGTCACGGAGGTTTAAGTCCGCACTTAAAAAAGATGGAACAAATCGAGAAGATATGCCGACCCACCATTGTACCAAGAAAGGGCCTGCTATGCGATTTATTATGGTCCGATCCCAGTAAAAAAAGCGGTTGGCGTCCAAATCCTCGGGGACTAGGTGTGCTTTTCGGCGAAGACGTCGTCTACGAATTTGTTCGGAAACAGAACTTAAAATTGATTGTTAGAGCACACGAGGTATGCAAAGATGGTTTTAAACTTTTTGCAAATGACACGTTAATCACCATCTTCAGTGTTTCCAATTATTGTGGCATGAGCAATGATGGCGCCATTGTCTTTGTTAATGAAAATTTCATGTGCACCTTCAAAATATTAAAGTGTAAGAGAAAATAAAACAAACTACTGGTGGTTGCGATGTGTACTGCTTTGTAAGTTTATTTACTTATTGAACATAGTAGACATCAGAACAATATACAGAGTGCGACGACTATTATGGGAATGCCTTGTTTCGTATAATCAAACAGTTTGGAGATGCGCTTTTTTTTTTTAAATATTCCTACAGCCACTACTATACAAGGTGTAGAATTGGTTTACGCACCATAGGTATTTCGATGGTAATTCTCTGTATATTGAAATATTCTCTCCCCTAATTATTTTAAGTTGTACCTAATTTTTTTGTAAATTGTAAAATTCTGCGTCTATTCATGTACCCATTTGTAATTTTTTTGTTGTAGGAAATTTCCGGTTTCCCGAATTAATAAACCGATACAACGGAATATCAAAGGATCCTCAATATTACCATCACTTTTTTAATGACCTTTTATGTTAAGGTTGCAAAATTCATGTGGTCGCCAAAAATGCATTAAATTTATGTCTTGGGCATTGAGATAATACTCTCAGTGCCGGTATTTCCATCTCGGGATAAAGTCAAGTATAAGATATCTTCCAGGTAAACCGACAGTTAGCGTCGCTTCGGGTATTTCGAACCTCGTTTAAATATTATGGGCAGGATAAGTTCTAGATAAAGTTATTGGGTAGATTTTCTACAGTTATCAACATAACCCCAGGATATTGCGTCAAATTTCCAGTAAACTGGTGACGTTTTAAAAATTTGCGAAATTACCAACCGTACCTATACTAAATAGGAAGAAAGAAATTGAAGTATGGAAGTAGAAGTACGCAAATACATACTATGTTTTCTTGAAGGATATAGGTAACCTATTTTAGATTCCAAATGGATCAAGATTTTCTTGACACAAGCACACGATTTTCAGATGTGCTGAAATTAGCCTTTTCTTTCTACGCGGTGCATTTACATCACGATTTTGGTTCATGTTCAGAGTACTCATAAGTAAAGCTTATTCTGTAATTTACGTTTGACAAGTATATTACAAGCATTGAACTATATACTCTGTAACTGGAACGGCATCACCCGTAATCAGACGTTGCCAGGGGCCGTGGCGAATTTTTGTGAGAGAGAGATGGGTAGAGGTAGGTATCCCTTACCTTGTTCCACTCATGTGGGCTTATGAGATGGTTTATACTACGTCTTACATTTTGCTTATTTTTGTCTAAAATAATTTATTAAGAGATTTGCAAGAATGGTCATGAATTATGTTGCATATACGTGCAATCATTTTTATAATAAAAATTCAAATATTCAATTTCATGGGTACGTTTTGATCACATTTTTCAACCTCTACGCGCGCATTTAATATTTTTGCGCATGACGGCATTTGCACCGCTCAGATTTCTTTACTAATGTGTAATGTACACTCACACTCATTTATACTGTCCTTATGAATGATAATTCTTCTTTCGCACTCTTTAATACTAATTCAATAGGGCATGCCACTCGCTAGAGAGCATCATATGAAGAAAAGCGTTAACGCCGCCAAAACCTATAAAGCCGTTTTGACTTACTAATTTGAATATGAAGTTCTTTATTATTTAATTTTTCACTCAACATTATTATTGATACTGCTCACTAATGGGGCGAAAAATACCTTTAAGGATTGATTTTTTTATTTATTACCGATTCCTTCGGCCTACAATGAACGTACATTAGGAGGCGTCAAAGTGTAAAGATAAAATATAAAAGCATACACATATCACACAGGTATATCACAAAAGTTACAGTAGAAAATATCACGGTTTGCATTTTCTACATCCATATCCATCCACATATGCTTTAATGGTGTAGAAGCAATTACATATGAAAAACTTTTTTATTTCCCTACGAAATATTCCGAAGGATTTGCAGGTCTTGAGTTTTTCTGGGGCCAAGTTATAAAGGTGAGTTCCGGAAAATATGGGAGACTTTTTGTAGAAGGTGTAATTCTGACCCCATATAACTCGGCGTACGTTTCATCTTGGAACAAAACTGGGTTATTGTAAGGTAACAATGTACCCGTGCCTTTATTTATGGGAGCGTGTAAACGCTCCTTTACAAATGCACTACATTGACATCAATAGATGTCGCTAACTAATCATTAATGACATTAATGATAACATAATCAAGTGTCATTTCCACTTCCTAGTCGTAGTCCTAATCATGGCTGTATAAAAGGAGGATCCCTTGAGTTTAGAAGACACTTCTATCCTGTCATTTGATGACCAATAACCTGAATCCAGACCTGAAACTGATAATCATTCATCCGATTTCCCGTTTGCATTCGATACCGTTTCCGTTCCGCTTATATCCTTAACCCACCTGTCCCTGCACCCTTAACCTCGCCATTCATTAGAAATCGTCCAGTCCTTGAAAGACGAACCCTCAAACACCCGAGTTCGATACCTGTGGGGCCTGTGACCCGCATGTAGCCAGCTCCCGCTTGCTTGATTTAGTCGTAAGGTTGTGAACAGAGTTGGACTGGGTCACTGGGTCAACTGGGTCACCTGGGTCACTAAATTAAACTGGGTCGCTGGGTCACGTCATACTCTTTTCAGTTAGACCCAGTGACCCAGTTTGACCCAGTGACCCAGTTTGACCCAGTGACCCAGTTTGACCCAGACCCAATTTCACCCGGGGACCCAATTCGACCCAGTCACCTAGTTTGATCGAATAACGCAGTTAAGTCAGTGCCCTCGGTTCAAGTGTACAGATTATGAAATAAATGAAATGCTGGTTTGTTGAAAATAATACTCGATTGCTTGACAACTGCCATTTCTGTGATGTTTGCTTTAATACTGCCGTAAAAAACTTTCCATGTCCCGAAATGTATTAGAATAATGTTATTTATTTGCTTCAGAGCTTACAAGTTTGCTTACAGGTGTTCATTCACATTTAATTTTTTTCTACTCGTTAGCTTAATCCAAATAAATCTTTTGTCTAAATACTTTCATTGATTACTTGACTACAAACTATAAACAAATGCATTTGATTTTTTTAGGTATTAGTTCTCTTGAATGAAATTGGGCTACGTGCTTGTTGCCGAATATTATTGAGGAAGTTTTTTTAAAAATTAAAGGTTACTTGAAATTGTTTTGGATGATACCTAACAATAATTTAATTACTGGGTCACCGGGTCACGACGGGTCACTGAGTAAAGCTGGGTCAAGATGGGTCACTGGGTCAAGCTGGGTCACCGGGTCAAGATGGGTCACTGGGTCAAGCTGGGTCACCGGGTCAAGCTGGGTCACCGGGTCAAACTGGGTCACCGGGTCAACTGGGTCACCGGGTCAAGCTGGGTCACCTGGGTCAACTGGGTCACTCACTGGGTCACCGGGTCACTGGGTCAGTAAACTAACTGGGTCACCGGGTCACTCTATGCTTGACCCAGTCCCACTCTGGTTGGAAACGTTAAGCGGAGGTAGTGGCCGTGTCACATCTTGCTTTTCGTTACCATACTATCACCAGTCCCTTAGATACGAGGCGAGTCAAAGTACGGGAACTGGGAACTGTGGGGCCTTCGACCTGCATTCCTCCAGTTTGCGACCGTTGATTCTGCTTCAACCTCGAGCGTGGTGTACGGGGGTAGTGGCCGTGTCACATCCTGTGTACCACCTCTAGCATAAGTACCATACCGCACTGACGGGTCGAGTATTCGGAAGTGCTGGTGTCATTCACCTGAAATAGAACCCGGCGGCACCAATCATTCGCACCCCGATTCATCGATAGCTTACCAACTCCCGGATAAAAACCCGCTAATCGATAAACTTACAGCTACCGGCCAAATTAGAGTACCGCTGAGCCGAGGCGATCAGCTCCGACATCTCGATACCTGAGATCGTGCCTGAGATCGCCGCCATTGCCCTTTTGCCGCAACCCGAGGCAACGGCATAGCAGAATACTACCGTATCGACAACACCAGGGATACCAACTAAATAATAATTCTGTATTCTGTGGTGTAGATACACGGTGTCCAAAAATAAAAGGAAACTGGTGTGTAAATAAGTTTTATTAAAAACCCTGGGGCACGACTGCAGCTACCCGCGTGCCCACCGAAAAACCCTTACATTATATGTATAAGTAGCGCAATTAACCGTCTGGTCCAATTACCGTGGTTAGATGCGCCAGAAACAAACGTTCCATAAGACCAGTATAAGGCATTCGTCTCAATTCGTTTCCATCTAATGGCAATGCGGTGACCACTACGAGTAAATTGAATTTTTGCTCTTAAAGTAACCATGATTCTTTAAACTCATTTTATTCTGAAAAAAAGTGCTTTTTTAGATTTAGTTTTACCTCGACGCCAATTGTAATATATTAGGTATCTCCTTGCTAATATATTATGTAAAGGGTACCTACGTTGCAAACGAACACAACCAATGTTTATAACTTTATTTTACGTTAATAAGCAAATGGAATGTGTCGAGCCACCGTGAATGACATTAGTTGACATTATACTTTTGTAAGTACAAGAATCAAGTATGTGAGTGTGTGAGTGAGAAATGAATGGCGCAGTTTACCACATTATTAAGTATACTTGAAATCACGAATCTTTGTCCCTGCGTCATTGATTTGTGAATCAATTTCAGACAAGTTTTTTATCGATTTCGCATACTTGACAGATATTACAGTGTTTTAGCGTATGTCTGAAATTGATTCACAAATCAATGACGCAGGGACAAGATTCGTGATTTCAAGTATATATATTTTAAGATATTCCATTAACAAATAGATATTGGCTCTTATAAAAGCATCGGCAAGCATTTATCTTTATCTTTCTAAAGCCTCAACCTTCCAGTTTATTTACTTATCTGTATTTTTAACCAAATACGTGTGATCGGTCCTGCATATGCAATACAAAACAACGTGCCAGACAAGGATGAGAATGCCTACGTTATGCTGGTTGCCTAAAATCATTGCGGCACGCGATTTTGGCGCTCGATGCCGTTCCAGTTACAGAGTATATAGTTCAATGATTACAAGTCACTGAATTTCTTTCCAAAACAAAAGCATTCGTTCAAATTGTCAGGTAGTAAGCTATCTTGCTCTAATATATGGCCCTGCCGTTCGCTATCTTTTTCTATTACAGACTTCTAAAATCGGCAACATTGGCTATGGTTAGGTAGCTATCTACGGGATATATTTATACCGGACGCTGATGGAAATACCCGCAGATAGATAAACGGAAGATATCGGGCGGTATAAGTTATTTTGCAGGTACGAATCTAGTACGTTATCCGAAGATGGAAATACCGGCCCTCAGTCTTTTTTGCAACGATCGCGGTACAAGAATAACAACTTTGATATGTTTTGATAAAAATCCACGTGGTCGCCAAAAATGCATCACATTTTGGTCTTGGGTATCGAAGTAATGCTCTTGGTATATTTCCCAACGATCTTGATGCATGAATATCGATGTTGATATGTTCTGATCAAACTACATGTGGCTTCAGAAAAAGGATTTAAAACATCTTTGAATCAAAGACACGCGGTTATCAAATGTGCATGTGTACATTTTCCGTTGATGCGTTTTAAAGCTTTTAAACTCCAAATTCGTGTGTAAAGAAAAATTTTACTCTGAAACTTTTGACCTAGACACTGGCCCGGTATGGGAGTGCGTACACATTGGTTTTCATTTTCGGTAAAACACAGAACGTACTTTTCGATCGATCTGAAACGACGGATTGGACAGATCGATCGTACCGTGTGTAGGGCCTTTAAGCTGGCTGATACTGCAGTCGTATCGCGACATCTGTGAGGTGCGGGATATCCAATGACCGGCGATAATACCATATATATTTCTTTTTAGCCCATTTCCTCAAAAATAAAAAAAAATGCGCTATGGTGGCCACTTTCTCCGTCTGTTCGCTCGTTCGTTGAGACGCTATTATTTTTTATTTATTTTTTTTGAGTTGGATCCATCGTTCCTCGAAATGGGGGTTGAAATATATTATGTTATCAAAAATCTCTAAACCTTCCCCATATAGTTGGATATATTTCAACCCCCATTTCGAGGAACGATGGATCCAACTAACTATATGGGGAAGGTTTAGAGATTTTTGATAACATAAGAGACGCTATTAGTCCTTTATCTTAAGAACTATTGTTCTACTTTTTTCG